CTCATGTGTCTGGCCCTCAAGTTCCAGAGCCAGATCTGTTCCCGCTCTGTTGTGTAAGGGCAGCTGGGATGGTGAAGGAGGCCGGGAGGGGATTTGCCTGCCGCTCCGAGCAGGGACCTGTTTCCGTTCCCCCTTGTCTCTTAGGCCCTCTCCTTCTGCCCAGCAGCAAGAAGGTAGGGGATCCTCTGCTGCTTGTGGAGCCTCCACCTGCTGCCTTTGCCTCAGGGATGGCAGGGTGTGGTTACACCAATCTATCTCCCTCTCATAGTCCCTGATACTCCTCAGCCTCTCTCCTTCCTCTTTCAGCTCTTCCACCAGACTGAGCAGATCATTGTGACTGTGGCTGTGGTTAAGTCCATGCTGCAGCACGTACACCTTGAAGCATCAGTGGCTGTGCATGAGATCATGCTGGAGCACCTCAAAGTGTGTGGCCATGGATAAGCTCTTAACAATGCAGGTACATTACTGGAGGTACTGGAATCATGGCTAAGGCCATGCTGGAGCAGGTTCACTCCTAAAGTCATTGTGGCCCATGGAGATGGCCACTTTGGAACAGGTGCACCTCAAAGAGACTGTACCTGTAGATAAGTCTATGTCACAGCAGGTATATCCCTGAAGAGACTGTGGCTCATAGATAAGGCTCCACTTGGAGCAGGTACAACTTTAAGGGACTGCAGTCTGTGGATAAGTCCAAGCTGAAGCAGGGGCAAGGGGAGGAGTTCATTGCAATGTTAAACCCTATGGTCCAGTCCAAAGGGCCCAGGGGGGGAGATTGTAATGGAAATACCTTTAAATTGTTGTAAACCATGATTTGAGTTGCATGTTATAGGAACTACTATAGCGATTTGAGTTGCATGTTATAGGAATTACTGCTATAGCAGGAACCACCTGAACCAATGGAGGACAAGCCTTACAAGAAACAGTGCAAATGCAGCAGTGACCCAACCTGAGCTGGCTTTGGTGCCCAGTAACTCCACAGAACACACCAACTCTCCTGTCCTCACCTCTCCACCATAACAGATGGAGCCCAAAGTCATGGACTAAATGAACTCAATGGATATTTTCTGGATATTTTATGGGCTTTTAACAGATATTTTACAGGAGCAGTCCATAGTCTAAGGAAATTATATATGTGTATTATATCAAAGGATGCAAAGGAGGGTGGTAGTTAATGAGATTGGATAGTGTGGAACCTGGGCATGATGTAACTGGTATGGAATAAGGGGTGGATGCTGTCCTGGCTCTGGCTTGGATAGAGTTAATTTTCTACATAGTAGCTAGTATGGGGCTGTTTTGGATTTGTGATGAAAACAGTGTTGATAATATAAGAGATGTTTTCATTATTGCTGAGCAGTGCTTACACAGAGTCAAGGCCTTTTCTGCTTCTCATACCACCCCACCAGCGAGTAGGCTGGGGGTGCACAAGAAGTTGGGAGGAGACACAGCTGGGACAGCTGACCCCAACTGACCAAAGGGATATTCCATACCTGTCCTAGTTTTTCTGGGACAGAATCACAAAATCAGTTTTCTGTTCAGGAAAGCTGCATTTCTGAGAAGACTGCAGCACCCATTACTGTGAGAACAAAGTTGATAAGACACTTTGTTTTAGGTCATGGCCAGTCATGGAATGCAGGTGTCCATAGTGATCAAGGCCTCTAGCAGTCTTGAGACAGCCAGGAGCTACAAGGAACGGAGGCCAAGGCAGCTGACCCAGACTGGCCAACAGAAGTATTCCATACCATAAGCATCCCACTCAACATAAATTGGGAAGTCTGCTGGGAACAGCACTCTCTCTCTGTCTCAGTGGCTGCCATCCCTGGACGGTCTCACCCATCCCTCTGCTCTTGAGGCCTACTCTCCCTTCACTGACCAGCATTGGCATTTTAAAAGGCATATCAGCAGACGTTTGTCTAAAGTTCATGTAAAAGGACTGGCATTTATTTCAAATAGAAAACAAGAAGTTGCATGACAGCTACTTACCAGAGATAGCATTAGTCACTGACATGAGTGGAGAGTGAAGAGCGGGAGTCACACCCCATACTGTATGGTACCCCACTATTCCAGCTAGGCCAAACGTCATCACCATTTGTGTGAAAGCAGTATTAGGAGCTATGATGCCCAGTCCTAACATGCCCACTAAACCTAGAAGACAAGCACAGCAAAACTTTTCAGTTGTTTCTTACACTTGAAGGAGTCCAGTATTGAGCTAAAAGCAAAAAGGAGTTTTGTGCGTGGACTTGTTTCAAGATCAGCTGGATCATCCTTGTCAACTACAAGACTCTAAAGTGCTAGTGGTTCTTTAACAATAGAAAATAAATCCATAAATATAATACCAACATCTTTGTTATGCATGCAGACCAAGGAGCAAAAATAGGTTTCTCCCTCAACACTGGCTCCTGTCACACTCGTGTTCTATAGCAAAAATGTAGAAGAGTCACAATCACGTTGAGATACTACTTGAAAGACTCAGAGTATGAAGAACAGAGGTTAACATTAAGAACACTCAATCCATTAGTTACCTCATGCAGAAGTTCTGATGCACACAGAATACCAAATGACAGGAAGAGCCAATATTTATTTGTCAAGACAATGTCCTGTTCCAAATACTTCAGTAGATTGTGGGCATTTAAGTCTCATACAATACATTAAAGACTGAAGAAAGCAATGGCATTAAATTGATTCTGCTGCAAAGTATGAGCACAGTCCCTAGCAGGCATCCTTCAGAATTTTAAGTATTTTACTGATATTTAAATAAAGCCAAAACACACATACATGCACACAGCATGAGTCAGCACTGTATGAAATGGTAATACTTTTGGTTAAACTTCTAAAATTTTATTTTCCTCTCTTAAAAGCAATTATTACACTACACTGATTTTGCACTAGGATACACCAGCCAGTTATGAAATTAAACGAGTAAAATGAGAAGTCAATGAAAAGTATTAGCCAAATGAGGAACACTACACAGATTCTCCAACTCTGGAAGTTGCCTACCTGCTGTGTATACAGATGCACTAGTCATAGTTTTTCTAAAAGGTGTAATAGTAGCTGCTTTTTCCGCTTCCAGCTCTGCTACAGTCTTCTGCTTCACAGGGGCTCCTTGGGGAATATTATTTGGTGGAGGTGCTGGGAAAATCACCTTGCCATCCTGACAAGAGATATTTACAGTTATCCCTAACATGGCAGATGCTTTATAATTCAAGGAGCCTACTCTTAATCCCGCAACTAAGATAAGTCTTAAGACCCTAGAGCCATGCCACAAGAACATCTTACATTTTCCCTGCATCAGCAGAAGTTTGCAAGGCTGAATGAACAGTACAGCCGGACCAAGTTAACCATACTGGTTTACACATTTCTCAGACAAGATTTAATATTAGTGTCCAAGAGCACCTGGCAGAAACACAGCCCGGAGCTTGAAAGCAGGAACAAAAACAAAGAGAAAGTTACTTTGGATAAGTGTTTTCCATTTAAGGAAAATGGGGTCTTGGAAAAAGCAAGTTCTGCTACAGATCTGAACTGTAATCAGGGCCTGCCTGGACCTCAGCAAGGTTCCAGACATGATGTCTCACATTTCTTGCTGTCCTCCAGGCCTCTAGAGGAACAACTGCTGGAGCCATCAGACCTAAAAGTTGTACACGCCACTTCAGTGGTCTGAGCACGCTGAAGTCAATGCAAGCCTCCTCCAGAGTAGATAATAATAATTACAAAATGTTGGCAACATTATGCAGCAAAACTCAATAGAAATTAATACCTCTTACCTGAACTGCAGATTGTTTCCTAGTAGTTGCACAAGGAGAGTCCATACTGCAAGTTTGTATTTTATCATTTCCTAATAGAGCTTAAATTATCCTGCATATTCTAGTTCCACCATTTTTTTTTCCTGAATTTGCTCTCATGAGACAGAAACATGTATTTATTTAAAAAAAAATAAAGGAAGAATGTTTTTCTGGTCCTGTAGTAATGTTTCAAAAATGTTGTAAATAACTGTGCTTTTATCACATGAATACAACATGCAAGTTTTATCTTTTTCCTATTTTTCAATAGCAGATACATTAGGTATTTGTTTAACTTTGACAAGAAGGCAAAAGCAAAGAGGTTTCCCTTCACAAAAAGGGACAGAGGAATATTCAGCTGAATACACACACAGTTACCCACACTCTCCATCAAGCTACCTCTGAAGTCTGTTGGCATGCAGTATCTTTTAATGCATTTTAAAGAGACAGCACTGATAAATGTAAAAGCATGTGCTCACAAATTAAGAGAATATTTAGTGACTTACCTTCATTACTACAGTTCCTCTAATAACATGATCCAGAGTCCCATAATCAAATTCATCTTTTGGATCGAAGTAGAAGTTCTCTTTGTCAGGACTAATAGCCTTTAGAAGTTTGATAATATTATTGGAATACAGAGTACTGGCCTGAGTAGCCATTCTGCTAGGCATGTCTGTGTAGCCAATGTGTGTAACACCCTAATGTGGTGTGAGGTTTGTCAAAACCAAAAAAAAGGGGGGGGGGGGGGGGAGATCAAGTAAAATATTAAGGATTAGTTCAATCTCTGAAGAAGCAGCATCTCTTCCAATACATCCTTCTGGAAATATATATCCAAACTGTTTAATTTATTTCTGGTTTTTTACCCCAGATAAAACTGTTACCTGCAGCTCTAACATTATTAGTTGGGGGGAGGATTATTCACAACAGTTACAAAATTCAATGTGATCAAACCCAACGCCTTAAATGCTATTGGCAACAAGCATAGAGAGAGAGAACGTATTGGTGCAAGAGCTTGTCCTCTCCAAATTCTACCATTCTCTCAGAATTTAGCTTCTTAAAGCAACCAGGTAACAGATTATCCTGACCAGTGCTTGGCATCTTCTCAGTCCTTCTGGAGGACGTGCACTGGAGGCAACGTTCTACATGACACAAGGAGCAAAGGGAGCTTCCTCAGAGCTAGCTAGCTGTGCAAGTAATATACCCAGTTTCACATTTATGTAAAGATATAACATAATATATCCACACTGTTTAAAGAACAAATGTGAGTATACCTGGCTATCAGGCTCTTGGGCTTTTAGAAGGTGTGAGAAGCTGAGGCTGGCATACACTCTTCATGCTCAAGCAGGCTTGTGTTAAAACACTGCTCCTCACAACTTACAGCTAAGATCCATACATGCTTCCAGGAACTCTGGCTTCTTAATGCAATGCTCCAGCACACTACTAGTAGTTCTGCACTGCTGCTCTTTTCCACAGCTCAGTGTCAGTACGCTATATCCAGGAGTAATATTCCCCTGGCTAAAAGCACTCCATATAAATTCTTCATGGAAGTATCTGCTTATTTCTGTTCTACATACTCTAATTTCAGTTTTTAAGCAATGACATCAAAAGCCCTAGAAAACCACAAAGCCAAATACAATGCGTGACTCATGATATACACACAGAGCCCTGTTTATATTAAGGACAACCATGGCAGCAATATATCCTACAGGCTTCCCTAGAGCAGAATAATAATCACAGAATCACAGAAACACTAGGTTGGAAAGGACCTTCAAGATCATCAAGTCCAACCATTAATCCAGCGCCACCATGTCCCCTAGACCATGTCCTGAAGCGCCACATAATGGTATTATGCCCTTACGTTACCAAATAATAAACTTGGAAATCTGCTACTTTAAATCTCATCACCCAGATTTCTGTAACTGCTAGTAGATTTCTCACAAGTACCAAAAATAAACCCCCCAAAAAACAGAAAACAAGCTCTCAACTGAGCCAATGAACATCGGAGCAAAAACAAAGTAGTTAGCTCAGTCCAGGGCAAAATTTCTTAGTTTAAGGAACCAATTCATACTACTCCTAGTTTGGGTTAAAAGTGGTTTGGATACTCTAGGGCAGACATGCTCATGCTGGCAAAGCTAAAGACATGAAGATGACACCCTCCTGAAGCTGAAATTATATAGAGCTAAGCCAGAGACTTTGCACTGAAGTAAACACTGACATAATCAGAACCTGTTTAGCTGCACCTGTGACAGGGATTGTAACCTCCAGTTGTGGGAGGTGATGAGCAAGTCAAAGAAGCTATTGCTACTGCCGTCTCTTTAGGTATACCAAGAAATAGACATCAAACCACATCCTCAAATCAGAGGCAAATCACTGGACTTGGAAGTCTAAGAAATAACACTTCCATACTTACAAACCAAATTAACATTATACAAAAGTATTTGTTTCTTTAAAAACCTTCAAATTATTATACATAGAGATGATTAGTGACCAAATGGGATTCTAAAGGATTACTTCAGCCTAAAGAGCAAAATCAGCTACTCATTTTCAGCATACAGTTTACAAAATGCAATGTGAATTCATGCAAACAGAGAATGATCTGCAGATCAAAATACTCACCTTATGAACATACATTTCTCCAGGCTTTGTGGTCTCAATGTTTCCCCCTGCTTCTGCTGCTAAATCCACAACAACTGAACCTTCCTTCATTGATTCAATCATATCTTTCTTAAACAAGATGGGAGCTTTTTTGCCTGACAAGACAAGACACGGTAAGTTAAACACAAAATACAGCTTTTATTTGTAGAGGTCAGAAGATGAGTTCTCCCCTTTTCTCTCTAAACCTTATTTTTGTAAGCAAAATTTTCAACTAATTGGTACCTAGGATGAAATGTCACAGAGGGTTTCTTTATACAGGCAGAGAGAAGATATGCTAAAACATCTTGCTCCCAAGCATATAAAAAAAAAAAAAAGTATGCACAGGCAGTCTACCAAAGATGCTGGCAAGCCCAATTTTGTCCTCAGTAAACAGACAACATCCAATCTTACAATTCAAGTCATGACCGAAAGAAAGAATCACCACATCATAAGTTATTAAAAAGACAGATGTTGTGCAATACAAAGTACTAAAACCTAAGTTTCACCTTACTATGTTTCAATTAGAAAAGACAGTACTGTTTCAATTGGACTTGTTTCAGTGCACAAGCTGCATAGCAGAAGTATCAGTGATGCAATAAATATGCAGGAGAATTATATATTCTTACTTTATTACTATCTACTTGTTTAATAAGAAAACATGATATTGAGTCAAAGACTGCTAGTTCATGAAAACAAAAGTTGTAAAAAAAAAAAAAAAAGACACACTTTAAAAATAGGCATTTATCAGGGAAGGGCAAAGGTACATGCTCACACAGAGATAATTCATTAACACCTCTGTTTTCACTGCAGGCACAGCTCCAAAACATAGAAACTTACAAATTTTCCTTTATCTTGTGTATCTTGCATGTAAAAAATACCTGGAATAAGTGCTGTAGTGATGATAATATCAATGTCTTGGCACTGTTTGGCAAAGAGTGTCATTTCAGCTTCAATAAATTCTTTGGACATTTCTTTAGCATAACCACCTTGTCCCTCTCCAGATTCCTTTAAGTCTACTGCCAAAGGCTCAGCACCAAGAGACTTGAACTGTTCCAGAGCTGCAGCTCTAGGAAAAGAAAATGGGAGGTGGGGGGGTTACAGGGGACACAGGACAGGACACAGACAAAAGGTGAGGGACACACAACCACTACATTAAAAAGGAGATTCATGTTTAGAGGCAATTCAATCCACCATGACTTTTCTGGTCTTTTTAGTAGTAGTCTTCTTCAGACAAGAGATCTAAAGTTTATTCTAAGACTAAGGAAACCATAACTAAAGTCATCGATTTTCTGTGTTTAGTGAAAAAAAGTAATTGCATCGCTAATTTTAGGTCTCTAATGAAGATACTTGGATAAGGAATGAAGGCAGCCTACAGTTTCCTGTACAGTCAACAGTTGCTCCAAGAAGAGACTCGAAGCTGGGAGCTTAACTGTTGACTAACGCTGCTCACCCATTTCTCTTGTCACGACTAGGTAAGTCTACAGCCCAAACTTAGATGCCTAAGATAGCCAATAAATACACAGCCTGTGGCCCTGTCTTTCATCTGTGAAATGGGAAATACCAGCAAGTCTGGTTTTCCACAGGGTTGTGTGGGTTGGGTTTTTTTTTGTTTTTTACACTTATCCTGTAAATCTGTCATTTATTTTGCATCATGTGATATCACAGTAAATGACAGACTAAATTTCAGTGTGAGGTGAGGTGAACATTCACAACATGCAGAGGATTTAAACACAAACATTCTTGCACATCAAGATAAAAAGAATACAAGGATGCTTAAAGAAGGAGATTAAAAAAAGAAATCTGAAAAGTTTTAGAAGCATGATCAAAATATGTCTAAGAAAAAAGAAACTCTTTCCAGTCTCTTTTAAGGCATATGCAGATTTTTCTAACAAACCAGAGTGAAGGTTTTTTCATATGGCACATCACAAACCTGGAGATATATTCATTATTATTCTTTCATATTAGATATAGCTAAGTAACACTAGATGCCACTTCTGCATAAAAACAAACACATAAGTAATTTTAATGCAGATATAATACCGAATTTATATGTGTTTAATACAAGAAGGCCATTTAATAGAAAATAAAAATTAATCAAGTTTTCAGTTCCTGTAGCAATAAGGAGAAAAATGTTTGTGGTCTGTAATTTTCCCAGTCTATTGCTCTAAAAATAGCTATGGGACAAAATAATCCTTCTGAACCCCAAGACAGCAGCATTTAAAGCATCTTCAACTGAGTTTCTGACCTTTCATCTTGAATTTCATATATAAAATAACTTTATGTCTTTCTTTCCTTCAGCAGATTGAAGTGTGTCTCCAAAGAGTTCCTAGCTGGCCTCTCTGGGATCAGGAGAGTAGAGGTGAATGAGAGTATGCAGCTATGAACATGGATCAAAACAAGCTCTAAATGAGGGCATACAGATTCTTTCTTTACTATTCTTCCCTGAGTCTCCAAGAATTGTGGAGACATGAAGTTCAGGACAAAAGCCCTAACTTTCTCATTTTCATAAAGCAATTTTTTTTTTTATTCCTATAGTCCCAAATGATTTAATGAGATGGACTCTTTGGAAGGTTTGGTTTTTTTGGGAATAAAAAAATGGAGGAATAATGCAGGAATAAAAACGGTATCAAGGGAATTGTGATTCAGTGCAGTACAAGTACTTTCACCTGTAATGCAGCTACAAACTACTTAATCTTAAAAGTTTTAGATTGCTATTACCATTTCACATACCTACCTCGTATCAAATCCACGAACAACTGCACCCATTGATTTAGCTGCTCCTGCAGAAGCCAGACCAGCAACTCCTCCTCCAATGATCAAGACCTAGAATGATACCATCATCATGCTTGGAGCATAAACTAAAACTGGTTAGAAAAGCAGCAGCATTATACTGCTTTCGCAACAGCAGATATGCCTCATTAACCAACAATTTAAACAAGTTACCTTTGTAACAGAACCAAAAGCTGCCCTGTAAATGTAACGGTTTAAAAGCTGTAACTGCTAACTTCACTTATCTGAGAGCAGACTCATCTGTAGCTAACAGTTTATGTAAGTAAATACAGGTTTTCTACTTAATTTCTCTTCCTTTTTTTTTTTCTTCTCCAATTCTTTTACTTTCATTTCTCTTTATCCCAAGCCACCTGCAATCCCAATCAAGCAATCCTTTCCATCACAGCCTTCAACACACCAAAAATCTCAACCTCTCTGACTTTTCTTAACTGCTTCCTTGCCTTTCCCCATCTGGGAAGAAAAAAAAAAAAAAAAAAACCACCACCATCCATGTATCACTAGTCTGAAGTTTAAAACTAAGCAAGCTTACATAAAACTCAAATTATTCTATTATTAAAAAAAACAACCACCAAACTACACTACAGGTAGTGAACAAAACTTGGTATGGGAATAACTATATGGGTTTCCAAAGTATCTAGAACTAGCCCCAGGAAACAACAGGAAAAAAGCCTTTAACACAGGTTCATCAGTGGTTAGCTGTGCTCAGGAACTCACGTATTATTCTGCCACAGTATTTGTTTCATTGCACATACCTTTGCTGGAGGAACTTTACCAGCAGCTGTGATCTGACCCGTGAAAAATTGACCAAAGTGATTTGCTGCCAGTACTACAGCCTTGTAACTGTCAAGTAAGAACAAACACATATCAGTATTTTCCCAGGCTCAGTGTGATTCCATTCATGACAGCAATCAAAACAGATATACATTTGACCATAGCATGCATAGGATGAAGCAAGTTCAATATTTTACTATTGAGCACAAGTTTAGTAGTCTTTCTGTCTTTGTTCCTATTTGTTCCTTTTTTTTAAATCATGGGATGCATTTTCAGATAGAATTTTTGGACTGCAATATACTGGATGTCCACAACTATTCACTCTCTCAAAATTTTACATGAATAATAAATGCTAACTTGACAAAAGTTAACTTTGTCATCTTTGAAGCTACCTTCAAAGGCTGTAACCTGAGGCTTGTTAGGGAAGGAAACATGAACAAGCAATTGCAAAACCCAGAGTAATTTTGCAGTAATCTCACTTAAACAAGCAAGCACACATTCAAAAAAGATACCCTAACTAAGCTATATGGCTTCGGGCAAGTAGCTTAACCTTGCTGCTTCTTTTGCCCCATCTGCTTTTTCACCATCCTAAAATGAGCAGCTGGACACCAAGTTAACATCAGTGGACTATCTGAAAATGCAGATTAATGTGCAACTATGTCTCTTGTTAATAAGAGTGCTCATTTTATTGCATTTTTACTAGCACTGTTGTGGTTCAACAGTCCCATTCCACTCTTT